GAGAATTACAGTATGACGCACCGGCAGGCCTGAAGGAGCCCAAGCAGCGCCGTTTGCAGGCATTTAGTCTCCTACTCAGGGTTGTGGTCGTGGGACCCATTGAATTGTACTCTACGTGCTGCACAGTTTCCGTACTGACAGAATAAACTTGTGGGCTTCACTTACTTGCTTCTGAGATCATCGTTGCAATTTAGATGATTCTGATGACGAAAGGAGAAGCGAAAATGTTTTTGGAGCACGTGGTGAAGCAAAGCTATTCTCGCTTTCTTAATAGTTTGTAGTTTTGGCTAATTACCTTCTTGATGGTCCGTTCGTCTTGCTTTCATGCCGGTGTCATAGTCTGTTCTGCTATAAAAGCCGAGTTTCGGCGCTGCCATTCGATTTTCCGATGGTTATGGTTATGGTTATAGATAGTCATGGTTAATTTGCCCTGGGTTATGTCATGGTGATGTTAGCCAGTCCCCTTGCTTGTTTTATCGTATTTGCTTGATTCTATGCCTATGTTATCCACGTAGAAACAAGATGAACAGGCCATCAAAAGGCTAAAAGTCTGTCCACCGGAGTTTGAAACACTTAACACAACCAGGTACGGGATCATCCATATATTATGTGCTCAGATGCGAAATGATGGTTGTAATAATGATGGAGTGCAACCGATGCATAACAACGGGGAAGGCCAGGAGGTCTACGCTTCCACACACAAGGGTGTGTGGGAGCGGAGAACATAATGTTGTGCTTAAAGTGGGGGAGGGAGGAGGGTTGCACACCATATGTAACTTTTGAAAATGCTTCAAAACCTTAAAGGCGGATACCTTTGGCTTTATCTCATACCGCACTTCCTCTGGTCTTTGTTTCGCACCTCTAGTTCAGCTAAGCGCGAAACGGACATTATGTTTTCGGGACTTCGCTCTTAAAGCAGCGCAAACCATCGGAAATTTTACCCAACGTGAGCAACGCGTACCCAAGAGCGGAGTTCAGAATGACGGAAAAACACCGCAAATTTTGGACGATCCCAGCAGCTCGGATTCATCGCACAGTACAAAATCCATTCCGCTTCTTCTCTCGTCAGGACCCGTGCAAATTGCCACTTTGACTCCACCCCCACCGGGAAACAACTCAATGTAGTAAACAGGCTTACCTAAGTGCGGGACGTAAGCAGCCCGTACGGGCCGCTGCAGTGGGTCACACAACTGCAACTCTGAGCAGCAGGCTGACGACGCACTTACAAACTGCGCCCCTAAATATTGTTTTAGGGAAGCGAGGGCATAATTCTTTTACTGATTGGGGAGAGGGGGCGGGGGGGGGGGGGGGGGAAGGGGGCGAGGGATGCGAGGCTCCGGCAAAAGATGCGTGCCGTGAATATGCAATTTTCAAAGGAGCTGACTCTATGCTTTCTAGGATATTTGTTTTAATAAACAAAATCTTTAAAAATCTAGGAACTGGTCCCATAGTTGAAAGTATGGTAGTGATTGGCAGCAAGTAACACCTAAAATGATAGGATTTTTGTTGCATTGAATTTTCCTGTTTTCTCTTCTGGTAAGAATCAAGCCGAACAGATTGAGGCGGGGTTGAGGGGGAAGGGTAAGCCAATATTTGGAAGGCCAAGCTCAACAAAGATACTCACAAAACAGCACAAATCGACACCCCTGAACGGAACGCTACAACTAGCTGTGACATAAGGCCAACTGGTATCTAAACCCGTTACTCGTTCCCAATGCAGAAAAAGAAGTCTGCAGGCGCTGGGAGGCAGTGTTGATCAGGAACACTGCACCGGCGAGCACTGTGCAGATCCGGGGACCAGCATATTAGCGCTGTGTAGAATTCTTTCAGCAGCTTGCGTTCACCCATATATCTCTCGTCAATCTGCTTATGTGTGTCTTGGCTATAACGTCAAGCGATTTGCCGCTGAAGGCGACCCCATCAGGTGTTAATGCACGTGCCTCGCCTGCTGGTACATTTTGCTTGCGTTTGTGCGAACGGTGCCTGCCAGCTCAACTTATTTCCTAAACTTTGGAAATGTCTACGACGACTGGAATGCAAAAATTGATGGGTATTACAACGAATGAGCCTTTCTTTTCGATGACATTTTTTTCAGTGCGAAACCCTGCAGACATCCTTTGCGAACATCACCGTACCATAAAGTACATTCACAGTAACAATGAAAGCGTTAGCACAACGTCTACACAATTTGGCACAAGCTGTAGCTCCAGCTGGTTACCCCCCGCTGCCTAATCCACGCTGTAAGCCGTAGCTGACGAGGCAGGCAGTGACGGAAGCTGTACTGGGGTTGCGGCGGTGGGGCAAGATCCTTCGGCGAGTAGAACATCTCGTGTCTTGGTTCCGGGTGTCTTTCTCACGAATGCAATCAGTCACTATGAGTGAAAGCATCTGCCACTTATGTATGTCTTCGTAAGTCGTATTGCCCACCTGCAAACGCATACGTCTTACCAGTGGTTTTAAATGACAGCTATAAATTTTGGAACTGTATGATGACGCCAGCAATGCTTACTGTGCAAAATATTCATAACGACCAATACAGCATAGGCCGAACGGGTCTCGAAGTCAGCCAACTGGCACCTTCGTTACTTCAGGGAATCGGTCCGACTTGATCCGACCTGACCTGACTTGAGCCGGCCCATCCTGGCGCGGTCCAGTGATCCCTGGCCCTGCTCGGTCCAGCTGGACTAAATTTTGAGAGGCCTATTTCTTCGAAATTACTGACTTCACCGCCGCACAGTTTTGCACGGCAGTAGCAGAATGATTGACAAGTTGTGCTGAATTGTTTCGAGGCGCGCTTATGCATTTTACCTATTTGGTCAGGCGCATTTCCCTGTAACGCCGCTTATGACCACATACATTCTTTTGGTATGGGGGAACATACAACTTACAGTCTTGTAAAAATTTGCAGAAAAGTGCTACATGTGCACAAGTGTAGCTACAAGCCTAACAAGCAAAAAAGTTCCAGTTACAAATGTAACATGCGAGTGTCGGAACCTTGGTGTATAGTGTACGATGTCTAGACCTTGGAAATCCGGAGTCGCAGTAACACTAGACCAACACGATTTAACAGGGGAGATAACGTGACTTGGTACAAACCTACGCGATTGCGCATTTAGCTGGCAGGCGGCAACGCAACCCGAATATCTACCACAGATCTACCAGTGTGGGCCATTGGTTAGGGTTAGATCTTTCCAGTTAGTGCAGGTAAATGCCTGAAAATGATTGCGCGGTGTGGGTGAAGGCAGGGGATACACGCTACGTTTCCAGCTCAACACCTTACGTAGAGCAACAAGTGGTCGGTCGGGAGGCAGACAACAGGACCTTTTTAAATTTTACCAAATACTGTACGCTGGGGTCTAAAACAAAGGATATTTGTCTGATCCATGAAAACCACGCAGGAAAACAGCCCAACTTACTGTGACTAATACCCATGAAAAGCGTATCAGTTTTGTAGTTGTTGGTCACAGACAAGGGAAAAATAAATCAGCCGATGTGATTTACGTATTAAAACAACAATTGTGAGCCCATATACCTACTGAGGTGCCACGAAGACAAACTTTCCAATGCATGCATAAACCCATCGTTATGGGCTCAGAAAAAACACCTGCCTCATGAAGTTTGAGTTTTCGTATCATGTACATCATTCGAGACCTAATCCTCATCATTCATGTCACGATTAGAGCGCCATTTGTCATTACCTCGCTCGTCATGCTGTTAAAGGGGTCTCTACCAACGACGCAACGTTACTGAACGAGTCGGCCATCTGAATTTACGCTTCCTGTAAGCCATAGCCTTAGCCATAGCCAAGTCATGTAAATTATTAGGCCTCAGAAACCCCCCGATGAACACGGCTGATATATAACATGTCACGTAAAAGGAGACACTGCGTGTTGTATAACTGAGCGCATGCCTTTGCGCCGAGCCCATTGTTGTGTCACAGGAGCTGTGTTATCCAAGGTGTCTGTCTAAACATTGTTTACGCTAAGGATGACATCGGTATTTGAGAAATGGATGGCTATTATTCCAGCTCAGGAAGTTCCTTTCCAGTCCTGCCCGTTGAAGTTAGCAGAACCTGTGTGACAACATTTGCATTGTTCGCAACGGCACAACCGTGGGATAATCGTGCATTCGCACGCACCGTTTATTCACGAGAATCTCGAGAACAGAAACAAAGAAGTAGCATACTGCAGCGTTCGATCGACAGAACAATGACGCTTTGCATTCCTACATCGATGATTCATCGTGCTTTGGACACCTTGGGTGATTTAGGCTGTAAGCTAGAGACCGTTTCACATGGCCTTGGAAGGCATGCAACTGTCGGCACTGGGCTACGCTGGACCTTGAGTATTCAGCTAGCACATTTGAAAGCGAAATTTACACTGTTTTCCCTCATTGCGACAACATCCTTACAGAGCCCAGAGTTGTAGCTGGCAAATGCGAAGGTTGCCTCTACAGCTAAAAGTCAACTATTCCACGCGCATGATGACGCCCATTTAGAATTCCAGCGGATGGACAGCTGGAAGGACATCGCCTTACTGTAGTAGAATGGCAGCTAGTGAAGTAGCTGGAATGTTCAAATGCAGCCTGTGATAAGTAGTAGTGAAAGACTTCTTATACTATTAGAATATTTCTGCCATTTCTTTTATTGGCAGCTACGACGAAAGGAGACTGTTTCTTCCTCCATGTTAATGCTCCCACCCCTCCCCACCGATCTCCTGTTCCGACCATCATCCCCTCCCCACTGATCACCCCGTCTGACTCCGGCCCTCCCCACTGGTCTCTCCATCTGACTGCGGCCCTCCTCACCGACCGCCTGTGTGACTCTTCCCCTTCTCACTGATCTCCCCATCTAACTCGGCCCCCGCACTGACCCCTGTGTGACTCCACCCCTCCCCACCGAACCCCGTATGAACTGCGCCCCTCCCCATTGATTTACCCGTCCAACGCGACCCCCCTCACCGACCCCCTGTCTGACTCCACCACCCCCCCCCCCTCCGCAGAGGTCAAGGCCGGCAGGTGTCCGGCCATCCAGCCGGGCTCGTACCGGGGTGACTGCAAGGACACGTGCAAGTATGACTCCGAGTGTCCCAAACAGCAGCGCTGCTGCAACAACGGCTGCGCCAACGCCTGCCTCGATCCCGACTTCAGGAAGTCGTGCGACGACGTTAACTGTCCGGACGGCTACGCCTGCCTCGATAAGGACAAGCTGAAGGATGCCTTCTGTGTCAATACTAGTAAGTGCGGATACTGAGGTGTGCAGATCTTCGTTGTTTCAGCGTTTGTAGAGGATGTTCTTCATGTTTGGCCGCGCTTTCACGTTATGAAATAGTTTTTGGGTCCCTTATATATGCAACATGTTTCCTATTCATCCTAATCAAATAATATTGTGGAATACCGGCGTCGGTACACATATCCTTCACTCAGTCTTGCTGAGTTTTTCCCTCCACGCTCCCTGACCCTCGCCCTGATTCGGCGCTTTTCATAACGCGGGTTGATAGCGGAGACGGTTAATGCGGTTTCTGGCGTTTCCAACGTAATACAGGAAGGGGTTAGCAGAAAACAATCAGTGGATTGATTTCAGAAGAGATCTCGATTGGTACCAAAATGTCGTCTTTCGTACTAGTTATTTATTGTTAGGTCGGTAATTGATCCCATCATGACAGGTCGAAGGTCAATATTTCCCCAAAATCACACTTTTTCAGCTTTACAACATCGCACCAAGGAGACCATAACTTATGGTGAGATGAAATTTAGCCAGGTGTGTTTCTTGTTTAATTATCAGTATAACTGCATATATTTGTGTGTTTTTAGCATACCTTTACGATACATGGCTCCATTTACACGCGCCGGGGTGGCCGGCTGAATATCCTTCGGTCTGATGGGCGAGGGTCAACTGGACCCCCTGGATCTCGGAAACTAAGATACTAAAGACACCACATTCGCATTGCAGATTACCCTGTGCGTAAAATCCCTTGCATCAAAGTTGAGGTTCTAGAATATGAGCTTGGGGTCCAATAAGGTCAAGCAATGTCAAACTCCAGACTGACCTCTCAAGTGCCCTGAAACACTCCTCACGTAACGCCGTGAAGCTAGGTATCTGTTTCTAAGCAAAGGGTCAATGAGTTAAGTGACCTTGTTTAACCTTCATAAGGCCAAGGTGACCAAGTGCCTTTGAGATTGTTCCTATTTTGCCTTTCGAATAAAGGTCGGGGATTACGCCAGGTGATCTGTTCCTAAAAATAAAATGTTGACCTGCGTCATTTTTGTCAGTGACCTTCTCCGATCTTTAAAAAGCCCATAGATTGCGGTTCCTGTCATGAATAATTTTGAAATGAGCGCCAGAAACTACCCATAAAACCGAGCTCTCGAGTGAAAAGCGGGTTAGCTTTGACCTTGTTCTGACCTTCATACCTGGCCCTAGGTCAATTTGAAGTGGTTGTAATTCTAGGTGTCACTGATTTTCCCGCTTAAGAAACTATTTTACATGTGTGTGACTTCATCTTAACACTCCATTGTTGCATCGCATTGCACCATTCCCTAGAAAATTCCCATCCCTGCCATAGGTTAGCAACCTTGAAATACGCATCAAATTTTTCGCATCAAAAGATCTACTATTCAATTCTCTACAGCTATTGCAAATTTGGTGCGACTACGACGCGCCCTTCCGAAATCATTCTGGAAAAACCTTGGGGGGAGGGGTCAATTTGCCCCCGCCCACCCGTGCGCGTGTTCATGCAACAAACGTCGGCCCGCCGCACGCATTCCGCGGCATCGTTCGCTGCCGCCCGCTGCCCGCGCTGCCGCCCGCCGCCCGCGGCGGCCTTAGATTGCCGTGCAGTGTTCCTAAAAAAACGCTGTTGCTCGGGAGCCAGAAAAGCTAGAAACACTTTTGGTGGGAAAACACGCGTAATGAACATCCATAGCCTAGTGAAAACTTGAGCGAAATTTCTAACACGCTGGAGAGGTATCCTCAAAAACCTCAAAGTGGTTGCATAAAAAATTATGCCCTCGCCCCTATCAGGACGTGAGTTGATAGACATACATTGCTTGTGCTGCACTGACGCAGTACCGGAGTGTTGCAAAATATGCAACGATTCAGTTATTTCGCTGCAGACCACTGCAGATCGTTGCTGCAGATTCAGACTGCCGTCAAACAGGTGAAAGGCGTGCTTTATCAGTGGCTGATCACGACGTTTTTCGGGCTTCTTGCCTATCGATTAGTATTGCTGTGACGTCATGTTCTCTGTGAGATCTTACAGACTTCACGAGTTTATTCTGTTCAATGACTGCATGCGGATGTTGCAAATGATAACAAAGGCTTGCTGACGCAGAGCAATTGCGGGCGCTTGCTCTGTAATGCCAATGACCAGCATATCACCTTTGGTTCTTGGCGGGCCACGAGCCACCAACCGCGATAATAAATGAGCGCGGCGAATACGGTCGCGAGCCTAGGCCACGCCTCGCAGGTCAACATAATCGTCACTTCTTCTGCTTCACGGGCGTTCGTCTCTGAATGTTCGTCGTGGCTCTTCACTGGTGAACCCGAATGACCCACCAAGCTGCTTGAGGCCGAAAAAATGAACAGCAAAACATGTGGTTATCGAAATTGTACCGAAGTTGACGAAGCTTCACCTCTATTCCTGGTTGTCGTAAGCTTACGACCGTCCACTTGTGTTCTTCTATACGAATTCCCACTTGTGTTCTCCGGTCAGCTATTCGGAATGTTTGCCATGAAGTCCCGAACACACAGGACTGAGTGCATCTCTCCTCAACTTCTACACCCTGTCGCCACACCCCAGCAGCCAGACAACCGTTCCTTCTGACCTCTTTGACCCTTCACCGCACCGTCTGACCTCAGTGACCTCTGCTCTCCAGCCCAGAAGGACGGTCGGTGCCCGGCGGCGGACTTCTGGAACCCGCGGACCCGCAGCTGCGAGGACCAGTGCGTGTACGACTTCCAGTGCTCCGGTGACGAGCGGTGCTGCAACAACGGCTGCGCGAGCGTCTGCGCACCGCCCGACCTGCGTAAAACGCTGCGAGGACCGTGACTGCGAGGAGGGATACTCCTGCGTCGACGACGGCGTCAGTGACGCGCAGTGCGTTAGCACAGGTAAGGAGTCCTGGGCTGCCATGACTAGGGCCAATCCGTTTGGTTATCCATGCCGCATTATAGGCCATGTGTGCATCTCACGTGAACTCAAGAGAAGAAGTTGGGTCACACGGCTTTGCGAGATGTAGAGGCATTCACGTGATTATAAGCAACCAGCTGGTATGGTGGCGGCCGCTGTGCGCTGCTGACCTGACGGCCACCTGCTCTGTGCACAGCGCCGCGGCCGGGCCGCTGTGCGTTGCTGACCTGACGGCCGCCTGCTCTGTGCACAGCGCCGCGGCCGGGCCGCTGTGCGCTGCTGACCTGACGGCCGCCTGCTCTGTGCACAGCGCCGCGGCCGGGCCGCTGTGCGCTGTCGACCTGACTGCCGCCTGCTCTGTGCACAGCGCCGCGGCCGGGCCGCTGTGCGCTGTTGACCTGACTGCCGGCCTGCTCTGTGCGCAGCGCCGCGGCCGGGCCGCTGTGCGCTGCTGACCTGACGGCCGCCTGCTCTGTGGCACAGCGCCGCGGCCGGGCCGCTGTGCGCTGCTGACCTGACGGCCCGCCTGCTCTGTGCACAGCGCCGCGGCCGGGCCGCTGTCCGGTGGTGGCCCCCAGGGTGCGCTGTCCGGCGGACAGCAGCGACCAGTGCGAGTACGACGAGCAGTGTCCGGAGGGACTCAGGTGCTGCAATGCCGACGGCTGCGGCAACCGCTGCATGCCGGCCGACCTGCGCAAGCTCTGCGCCGACCTGACCTGCTCCGAGGGCACCGCGTGCGTCGGCAGCATCGCCGGCGACGCCCAGTGCTTATCGACGGGTCAGTGGGGGCGCGTGACGTTCTGGAGACCTTCTGGAGACCAGGACAACAAGGGCCGACGGTGTGCAGCTCTTTGGATGCATCGCGAGAAAGTTTATCAAAGTTATCCTGCTGCGTTTATCAGACGTTCATGCGTTCATCAAATCGTGCTGACCACATTTTTGTTCTGAGAAAGGATTCCTGATGGCAGCCGTTCGATTGTAGTTGGCATTTTCACCGTTCATCTACCCTTGTTATGATAATGGGGGTTTACTTCACAAACCAGTCCTGACGTCTCTTTGCTGTTCAAAACAACCGTGCTCATCACACGGTTAAGTCACGAACGGAATAGACGATGGCGTCGCGGTTTCGCGCTGATAATACTTCACTGCTGGCAATTAATCTGATGAATTCTGGCCGTACGTGTACGGCACTTTTCCTTCCTTACCCCTGATTGCACGTGTTCGGGGTTTATGCACGAGCAGAGGAGGGGCTGTGGACAGTCGGTACGGGGACGCTGCAGCTCCCACGGGTCACTAGTCGATTTAATACGCTGCCAACTCTGACTGGTTCTCTGGCTCTCCGGCCCCTCTGCCGACGACACTAAACACTGCAACTGTGGGCTTGTGATAGCCAAATTAAGATCATAGAGTGCACCCTGTCTCGCACCTCTTGCAGCCAGACACGTTCGCCGCCTGTTTGAGTGGCGCTTGACCAGGCCTTCCGTCCCCAGCCGAGAAGCCTGGCCTCTGCCCGAGGGTCTCCAGCGACACGCTGCCCCGCGGCGGCTGCAGGAGCTCGTGCCAGTACGACTCGCAGTGCCTTAACGATTCCAAGTGCTGCTCCAACGGCTGCGCCAGCGTGTGCCGCAGGCCGCGCGCGCCCGACTGCGACACCATCAAGTGTCGTGTTGGCTTCCGGTGCACCGAAGACCGCGAGGGCAAGCCCTCCTGCACGGCTATACGTGAGTCTCGTGGGGCGGGTCCCGCCGATCGGTGGTCGGCCACTTGCTTGCTGCTGGCTGCGGAAGCGGGGGCGGTGAGACTCGCCGGAGGGCAAACCTGACCTGCATGGTAGCTTGGGGTAGAAACACATGATGTCAGAGGGGGCGGGTTTGATGACAGGCGTTGAGCTGAGAGCAGACACAGGTACGACGGTGTATGCATAGCGGCTGCATCTTGCATGGATATGCACGTGACATCTCTCACCGACTGGCTGCAGTGCACATAATTCTCTGGCATCTTGAAATGGAACCCATGGAGTATGCATCATCGGTTTCTCCTTTCTTACTACTTTGTTATTAGTCACGAATAACAGAAACGAATCGTGAGAGAACATCCGGGATTTTTGCGTCCGAATAGGACGTTTCTGATCTCTGATCTAATGATGCACCTAACATTATCTCCTACAAGCACGTGGATCTTTGCTACACCTGTCCATTTCTACTGATGCATGAGCACAGCATGTGTGATCTTGGTATGCACTGCCCACGTTTTAGCACCGCGAGCATGTCGTGACCTTGCACGTTCTTTTAGCTGGCGGCGCAGCTGCGGCGACCGGCAGCGGCGGCGAGGGCGATCCCGACGCCCTCGATCCTTCCCTCGCCGACGACGACGCGACAGACGAGGACGGGTCGAAAGGGGGTAATGGCCGTAGGCGGGGCGGGGGTCGCTGGGGCGATGATTACCTGCCGCCGTACGGCGCCTTCACGCCCGGCTTCTACGAAGACGGCACGCCCATCCCGCCCGAGTTATTAGGAGAGGAGGGAGAGGGGGCCGAGCGGACCAGGCGCACCCGGCACCGCCAGGGGCACGGTCTCCTCGCCATCCGATCCCGTCCCGCCGCCCGCAGGACCTAGGGCTGGGATCGGCACCAGGCGGAAAAGGAGATGGGAAGGGAAACGCAGGCGCAGGCACCGGTGGAAAGGGAGACGGTGAGGGGTACCCAGGCACAGGCCCCGGTGGAAAGGAAGACAGCGAGGGGTACCCAGGCGCAGGCACCGGTGGAAGGGGAGACGGTGAGGGGTACCCAGGCGCAGGCCCCGGTGGAGAGGGAGACGGTGAGGGGTACCCAGGCGCAGGCACCGGTGGAAGGGGAGACGGTGAGGGGTACCCAGGCGCAGGCACTGGTGGAAAGGAAGACGGTGAGGGGTACCCAGGCGCAGCTGCGGCGACCGGCAGCGGCGGCGAGGGCGATCCCGACGCCCTCGATCCTTCCCTCGCCGACGACGACGCGACAGACGAGGACGGGTCGAACAGGGATAATGGCCGTAGGCGGGGCGGGGGTCGCTGGGGCGATGATTACCTGCCGCCGTACGGCGCCTTCACGCCCGGCTTCTACGAAGACGGCACGCCCATCCCGCCCGAGTTATTAGGAGAGGAGGGAGAGGGGCCGAGCGGACCGGGCGAACCCGGCACCGCCAGGGGCACGGTCTCCTCGCCATCCGATCCCGTCCCGCCGCCACAGGACCTAGGGCTGGGATCGGCACCAGGCGGAAAAGGAGATGGGAAGGGAAGCGCAGGCGCAGGCACCGGTGGAAAGGGAGACGGTGAGGGGTACCCAGGCGCAGGCCCCGGTGGAGAGGGAGACGGTGAGGGATACCCAGGCGCCGGCATCGGTGGAGAGGGAGACGGTGAGGGGTACCCAGGCGCAGGCCCCGGTGGAGAGGGAGACGGTGAGGGATACCCAGGCGCCGGCATCGGTGGAGAGGGAGACGGTGAGGGGTACCCAGGCGCAGGCCCCGGTGGAGAGGGAGACGGTGAGGGATACCCAGGCGCCGGCATCGGTGGAGAGGGAGACGGTGAGGGATACCCAGGCGCAGGCCCCGGTGGAGAGGGAGACGGTGAGGGGTACCCAGGCGCAGGCCCCGGTGGAGAGGGAGACGGTGAGGGATACCCAGGCGCAGGCCCCGGTGGAGAGGGAGACGGTGAAGGGTACCCAGGCGCAGGCCCCGGTGGAGAGGGAGACGGTGAGGGGTACCCAGGCGCAGGCCCCGGTGGAGAGGGAGACGGTGAGGGATACCCAGGCGCAGGCCCCGGTGGAGAGGGAGACGGTGAAGGGTACCCAGGCGCAGGCCCCGGTGGAGAGGGAGACGGTGAGGGGTACCCAGGCGCAGGCCCCGGTGGAGAGGGAGACGGTGAAGGGTACCCAGGCGCAGGCCCCGGTGGAAAGGGAGACGGTGAGGGGTACCCAGGCGCAGGCCCCGGTGGAGAGGGAGACGGTGAGGGATACCCAGGCGCCGGCATCGGTGGAAAGGGAGACGGTGAAGGGTACCCAGGCGCAGGCACCCGTGGAAAGGGAAGCGGTAAGGGTGGCGCAAGCGCGGGCACCGGAACAGGTGCATCGGTCAAGGCAACCTCAGGAGAACCAGGTAAGAGTACCGGCAGAGGAGACCCCCAGACGGGTGGCGATGCAGAGCCAACGTCCGTGGGACCAGATGGCGTCTCTGTCGCCCCTGGCGGTGGGCTCCCGAAACCGACGTCGGATCAGCCGTCTGGTGCGACATCTGGCGACGAGACAGGAGCGGCTCGCCCAAGAGGCAGCCCAACCGTCATCGGCACCATCAAAACACTAGCAGGAGATCGAGCAGGTGCCCCCGGCGGTGTGGGATTAGGCCAGAAACCAGCGGGCTCGGGACTCGGAGGAACAAGCCCTGAGGGCAGCATTAAACCAGGCCTGCGAGGTACTGGAGAAGCGTCAGTCCCAGGAGCATCAGCAGGAGAGCCTGGCGGGCCGGGCCTAGGAGGAGCTGCACCCGAAGAGGAAGAAAGTGGCGTCAAGCCTGGCTCCCCAGCCGCGGGAAGTGACAAGCCACGTTCAAGGGACCACAGCAGCTACGGCTACCTTCCGCCGGACACCGAGTTCACGCCGGGGACCGCTGTCTACGAAGAAGATGGTCCCGAGGGTCCCGGCAAGCCCGGCTCGGGCACAGCCAGCGCAGATTCGCCATCCACCGCTGTGCCTCGGGACAGCGATGAAGAGCTAGGCTCTCCCGGCGGAGCGTATCCAAAGCCGAGTGGTGGAAGAGGTGGACCAGGATCTGGCCGTGGCCCATCAGGGTCTGGTGCAGGACAAGGATCACCAGGACCTGGTGGAATAGGATCTGGCGGCGGGCGCGGATCACCGGGTTTCGGCACTGTGCAAGGCTCACCAGGATCTGATGGACCGGGAGCTGGTGGTGGGCGAGGTCCATCTGGATCTGGAGATAGACAAGGACCAGCAGGATCGGATGATGGACGTGGTACACCAGGGCCTGGTGGTGGACGTGGCACACCAGGGTCCGGTAGTGATCGCGGCACACCAGGGTCCGGTGGCGGGCAAGGATCACCAGGGTCTGTAAGACCTGGACCAGGATATGGAGGTGGGGAGGGCCCGCCAGGGTCTGGTGGCGGGCAAGGATCGCCAGGCTCTGGAAGACCTGGATCTGGAGGTGGACAAGGCCCATCAGGCAGTGGAAGACCTGGATCTGGTGGTGGGCAGGGCCCGCCAGGGTCTGGTGAAGGGCAGGGATTACCAGGCACTGGAAGACCTGGATCTGGAGGTGGACAAGGCCCACCAGGATCCGGTGGCGGACGTGGCACACCAGGGTCCGGTGGCGGACGTGGCACACCAGGATCTGGTGGTGGACGTGGAACACCAGGGCCTGGTGGTGGACGTGGCACACCAGGGTCTGGAAGACCTGGATCTGGGGGTGGACAAGGTCCGTCAGGTACTGGAAGACCAGGATATGGAGGTGGGGAGGGTCCGCCAGGGTCTGGTGACGGGCAAGGATCGCCAGGCTCTGGAAGACCCGGCTCTGGAGGTGGACAAGGCCCATCAGGATCTGGTGGCGGACGTGGCACACCAGGGTCTGGTGGTGGTCGTGGCACACCAGGGTCCGGTGGTGGACGTGGCACACCAGGGCCTGGTGGTGGACGTGGCACACCAGGATCTGGTGGTGGACGTGGCACACCGGGGCCTGGTGGTGGACGTGGCACACCAGGCTCTGGAAGACCTGGATCTGGAGGTGGACAAGGTCCGCCAGGTAGTGGAAGACCAGGATATGGAGGTGGGGAGGGTCCGCCAGGGTCTGGTGACGGGCAAGGATCGCCAGGCTCTGGAAGACCCGGATCTGGAGATGGACAAGGCCCATCAGGAACTGGTGGCGGACGTGGCACACCAGGGTCTGGAGGTGGACGTGGCACGCCAGGGTCCGGTGATGGACGTGGCACACCAGGGCCTGGTGGTGGACGCGGCACACCAGGGTCCGGAAGACCTGGATCTGGAGGTAGACAAGGTCCGCCAGGTAGTGGAAGACCAGGATATGGAGGTGGGGAGGGTCCGCCAGGGTCTGGTGACGGGCAAGGATCGCCAGGCTCTGGAAGACCTGGATCTGGAGGTGGGCAAGGCCCACTAGGATCCGGTGGTGGACGTGGCACACCAGGGTCTGGTGGTGGACGTGGCACACCAGGGTCTGGTGGCGGACGTGGCACACCAGGGTCTGGTGCTGGACGTGGTACACCAGGGTCTGGAAGACCTGGATCTGGAGGTGGACAAGGCCCACCAGGTAGTGGAAGACCAGGATATGGAGGTGGGGAGGGTCCGCCAGGGTCTGGTGACGGGCAAGGATCTCCAGGCTCTGGAAGGCCTGGATCTGGAGGTGGACAAGGCCCACCAGGCAGTGGAAGACCAGGATATGGAGGTGGGGAGGGTCCGCCAGGGTCTGGTGACGGGCAAGGATCGCCAGGCTCTGGAATACCTGGATCTGGAGGTGGGCAAGGTCCACCAGGATCCGGTGGTGGACGTGGCACACCAGGGCCTGGTGGTGGACGTGGCACACCAGGGTCTGGTGGTGGACGTGGCACACCAGGATCCGGTGGTGAACGTGGCACACCAGGGCCTGGTGGTGGACGTGGCACACCAGGGTCTGGTGGTGGACGTGGCACGCCAGGATCCGGTGGTGGACGTGGCACACCAGGGCCTGGT